CTGTCACTTTTGAGGCATCTTGCTCTTGCTCCTGCTCTGGCTCTTGCTCCTGCTCCTGCTGTTTCTCTTGCTCTCGCTCCTGCGCTTGCCTTTGCTCTTGCCACTGCTTCTGCTCATCCTCTTGCTTTTGCTCTTACTCTTGATCTTACTCCTGCCCTTGCTTTTGCTCTTGCTCCGGACCCCCTAATGCAAATTAGGTTTTAAAGGGCAGGGATGATTTCGAGAGGATTGGCCCCAAGGTGGTTTTATTGGAAGGCGGGGTGTTTATAATAAATGGGGGAAGTGATTCCATCTGGAAGAAGCTGCCTGAAACAACACTGTGCATAGTTATTATTATTCCTAGCTACACCGTTGCTAGGCTGCTTCTTCACGACGAGCGTTGGGAGGCCTGTCAGGACACTTGCTCAACGCATGCATGGATGGATGGACATAAGTATGGAGGTGGCTAGGTATGTCTGCAAGTCTGTGTGTGCGTGTGAATGCGTCGGTCTGTAAGGTCAGATTTCTTTTGATGCTATACCTCCCCGGCGTCCTTAGCATCGATCTGTGGAAGATCGGTGATCCTCAAGCCAGGAGTCCTTGCCCCGAAATTCCGGCATGCCGGAAATCCGGACGAAGCCTATCGAATGCTATATCCAACGGCTTTGCAGGAGCAGGTCTACTTCGAAGTTCATGAGGCGACACTGCTGCGGCCACGCCCGGCCGCCCTTGCAGGGGTCTGCCTGAGCGCCTTTTCAGCATGCAGGGTTTTCGAGAAATTCGGATGTGTCGTGTATGTCGGCTGTAGGCCTTTACTTTAGGATTTCAGGTTGGGGATTGCTTCAAGAGTAATGCTGAAAATTCCTACGTGCGCTCGTGCAAGCACGGGGTGCAGCATTTGCAGTCAGGCATCCGTCCGTCCATCTGAATCTCTGTGCATGCAATTTATGCCCGCGTTCTTGCTTACATGTATACTGCCCTGGCTACGCACAAGCTTTTCATACACGTTGCGTCTTTGCACTTGCACATTCTGAAGTTCTCGCACACAGCGAGCTTGAGTTTATCATCGAAGTGTCTGAACCCTGGCAACATTGGGAAAACATGTAGGTCATATCTCTGCATACCGCCAGTACATTGGGGAAGCATCTTGGCGTTTTGGTCGTGCGAAGTCGTGCTGCGTGTAGTGCCATGACGATTCGGTTCAGGATCGCCGAGCCTGTGCCTGCAGCTCGCTTCGAAGCTGAAACTATGCTGAACACGGCTTTTGATGTCCCAGACCGTGCTTTGACGGAGATCCCATCTCCAAAAGCCTATACCGCTGAAGATCCTGAACCCTGAACCTCGGTACTAAATGGCTTGACGGCTCGAGCGAGAAAGACTGCTTTTGACTTTGACGTAGCCGTAGCCGTAGCCTCGAGGGAAGCATCATGAAGTTCTCGAGCGCAATCGCAATTCTGGGCTTCGGCGTTGCCGCAGCTCAGACTGATCGTCGCCATCGCTCAGAGTTACTTCCGCGCGCTGAGGTCGAGAAGCTTGGCGTTGTATGGCGTGGCAATGCCACGACCCATCAAAGCTCTCACGATCTGCTGGAGGCAACGGAGTTCCCCTCGGATTTCAGCTGGTGCAACAAGGATGGCAAAAGCTACTGCACCATGTCTCGGAATCAGCATATCCCTCAGTACTGCGGATCCTGCTGGGCCCACGGCGCCATCTCCGCCCTCGGTGACCGCATCAAGATCGCGCGCAAAGCCCAAGGAATCGACATCAACCTTGCAGTTCAGCACCTGCTGAACTGCGGGGGTGTGGGCACATGCAAGGGCGGCAGTGTCGACGGTCCGTACCAATGGCTCATGGAGATTTCCAAGAAGGGCACCGGGATCAGCTACGAGACCGCCAATCCTTACGTTGCCTGCACTTCGGACTCCGATGAGGGCTTCTGCAAGTACGTCGACACCTCCTGCAAGGCAGCGAACGTGGCCAGGACCTGTGGAAGCTTCTCGCAGGAGGGTGGGCCTTGCACCGGCCTTGGTGAATTCCCCAATGCGACAATTTCGGACTACGGCTCCATCTCTGGCGCTGAGGCCATGATGAAGGAGATCTTCCATCGTGGTCCGATTTCATGCGGGGTGGACGCCAACCCCCTGCTCAACTACGAGTCTGGCATCATTAAGACGCAGGGCGAGGGCGTCGATCATGTCGTGTCAGTGGTTGGCTGGGGAACTGATCCGAAGGACGGCTTCTTTTGGGTCGTAAGGAACTCGTGGGGCGAGTACTGGGGGGAGATGGGGTACTTCCGGGTGGCGAAGGGCGCGCTGCTCTTGGAGGACCAGTGCTCTTGGGCGGTGCCTGCTGCCTTCACGGCTGCGGAGAAGAAGAACCAGGTGAGGGGGTTTCCCAAAAATAGGGGGACCCTAATATAATATAGTACCTTAAATAGTAGGACTTAGCAGGATCCTTATTATAAGGACCCCAAAATAAGGTGCCCTAATTTGCGGAAACTCCCAGGTGCATTGCCACGAGGGCGGCGACAATTGCAAGGCGAAGGATGCCGAGCAGATCGTCGTCTGAGTCGATGGCACAGCCCAACATGTCCCCGGATTCCGGCATTGGCATGTGACTCGGTTCCTGGTTCGTTTTATGTTGTGTAACGTCATGGTTTTGACTCGTAGCTTTGTAGTGCTTTGTACTCCTTTTGACATAGCATGCTGGAAAGTTTCAGGGGCATTCAGAACGTTTTCGTGCACATCGCTTCGTTTGAGGAAGTGTGTGTATGTGTGTGCGCGCCTGAGGGCTCGCGCCGTGTTAGCGGCAGCTGATGGTGCATGATTGGTCCCGTCAGTTTCAACAGAGCCGACAAAAAGCGTGTGCCTGAGTGTTCACCGAAGTCCTAAACTGTGAGGCTGCAGTGTCCTAATCAGCGGCTCCGTCCTCAACAGTCTATCTGACCAACAGACTTTTGAGCAGATGCCAACGCAATACACATACAATATCTCGGTATCAGTGATCTTCATAGCTAGAAGTGTCGTTGTTCTTTGATGCCAGCCTCGTCATTGCACGCATACCAGTCCAAGTCCGTACAGTTTGGCAGGCCTGCAAGGATGCGACCGTTTTCTGTCTGAGACCGTGCTTGTGCCACTGCTTATGGCTTCATTCCGTGTTCCTTGCCCTGCCTGTGCTTGGGAGTCATCTTTGCTGTAAGATCCCCGCCTTCATGTCGGGGAGACTCCGCCCGAACTAGGAACCTCCCCGTAGGCTTGTCCGAGTTGTGAGCGCTTTCTCGAGGACATCTTCGGGAGCTGCTGGAGCTGAAGAGGAGCTCGTCTTATATTGGATCTTGCATACTAGATTTACTATATACTCGTACCATCGTATCAAGCATCCTTTACGCCGCTGCTCAGCGGCCAGTTGGCTCCGGTGCTGGTGGCTATGATTATGATGATGCGGTCGACGACTCTGGCGATGAGGATGTCGATAGGGATGTTGATGAGGTTGACGATGGCGGTGATTCGTTGGGAGGTTCTGGCTATGGAGTCTGCTTGGCTATGTGGGTCTAGAGCTCCATTTATTGACAGGTTCAGCTATTCACTTCTGAAAAGGTGCTAAAAGTGCCTTGTGTCTAGGATCCAAGTGGGAGTTGAGACTCTTAGTGCACGCAGGAGCACAGATGGGCCTTGTGCAGGAGCTGGCTTGAGACCCCCGTCTACCAAGCGGCTCTGAAGTGCTCCGTGCGGCCCTGCGCGGGACGCTTTCGCCAGGAGGTGGGGCTTGATGAATGAATGCAGTTGTACGGTTGTACAGTGTACGTGCTTATCTGTTGACATCTTTGCGTCCACCTCTGGATCATTATTATCCCTGATCCTAAACCTCAACGCAACCTACTGTCCTGCTCCAAGTTGCTGTTTCCAGCTCTGATCTTGGATTGAGTGGAGCCTTGGTTCGCCTATGCGAGGCGTGAAAGGCGAAACGGGTCAGGAATTGAATTGCGACAGCTTGTTTTTTTGCGACCATTATCAGAGTTTGATCTCGCAAGGTGATTTGTTTTGCTGTTCGGAAGCAGTTGCATTAAGTGCATTAACTTCAGGTCGTGTCTGGCCTTTGAAGGCAAAAGACCCGAAGAAACGAAGTAAATATGCGCTCGATCCCACAGTAGTGAGAGCAAGCAGGACAGACTAGCCGTGAGCCTTCCTGCAGTTTTCCCGAAAAACTACAGCATAGGCTACTGCCGGCTACTCTCCACGACGTGCACTCGTACACAAAAGAAGGGCATGCACATTCCCAAAATCACTGCGCGGAAGGGGGTAATGAGCCAATCCACACGCCGTTGGGGTTGTTTCATGTGATAGCAGTGCGGATCTCTATCAAGGCCGAGCCTACAGAGCGATTGGTTCATAGTTGGCACGCCACGCATCTTGCACCAGACTCTGCTCTGAAAGAATCCAGATACACGGCTAAGCGCAGCTTCAGCAGCAGAGCCACGAATTCAGAGGAAGCTCGAAACTGTGAACCTCTTTGAGTTAACCCGGGTCTAGGGTTGCCCTAACCCTCCCGAGGACCCTAACCGATAGCTCTGAAGTCAGCGATCCTCCTCTCTCTGTGAACCCTAAATCCGTATACATGTGGGTTTGTTGTTGCTGTTTGTTGGGACTTGCACGCAGCTGTGTAGTGAGATGCTCTGGTGTCGGACTTGTCTGGCAAAATCCCAAATCCCCCCCTTTAGGGAAGATTCAGGGTGTACACAGGGTTTAGGGACCCTAACAGACCCGGAAGGTACTGGAGCCTTTGTCTCCCGAGCGCCGGGCTTTCGTGGAGCTGCTTCCGCCATCGCCTCCCGAGGTGATGGGGTGTCGGGTGTTTAGGGTTTAGGGTTTTTAGGGTTTAGGGTTTAGGGTTTTAGGGTTTAGGGTTTCTTTAGGGTTTCTTTAGGGTTTTAGGGTTTAGGGTTTCGGGTTTTTAGGGTGCGGCTGACAGACCTCTGAGTCCGCGAGAGAGAGAGAGAGAGGTGATGGGTGCATCCTTGCCTGAAGCACGTATGTGGGTAGTTCTCAACATGAGGGTTTCTTGTTAGGCCCCCACAATAGTGTTGCACCCTTGTAAAAAGGACCCAAACAAGGGACCCTAATTTCGAGAGCTACCCATAGAATATGGGGGCCTTAATACTGTGAGTAGGGTTTTGGTATTTGGGTTCTTTGAAACTCTAGTTAAAAGATGTTGCAAGTCATAAGAAGGAATCCCAAAGACTGGCATTGGCACCCAAGCTTCTATGTTAGTTAAGCTTCGACATCTCACTACAAGCCCGCCCCGATCCAGCAAGAACTGGACGGTGACTTGGCATAAGCTCTCGGAGGCTTCGAGTCCTTTCTGGAGAATGTTAGTATTTTGATACCATTCCTAAGGGTTCCTACCAGTCCTGAGGGTTCCTACCATTCCCAAGGGTTCCGTACTGTAAGGATACGATAATATACCGGGAGATGATGAGGATGGGGAATTAGTGTTGCAACAGTAGCGCTGGCGGTAGCGCAAGTTGAAATAACCGGGAATTGTAGGAACCTCGGTAGTGGTAGCTACTGATGACCGGGGTGGGAAACGGAATACCAGCAATCGCTGATTCCTTTGAGGATTGCGGTTCGTGCATGCAATACCCACGGTTTCGTGCTGATGCCAACTTTGGAAGATGATGGCTAGTACATGTTATCCACGGAAGACCACCAAGACAGACAGGCATTCGTCAGTCATTGCTGGAGCGAGTCTTTTGAGGATGCTTGGATGAGAGCCATAGACCCTGAACGACCATCTGTGCTTTTGGTAGCCGAGGGCTTGCCACCAGACACTTGCGACAATCCTGAAGAGTCAAGCTTCTTACACATAAGCTTCAAACCCTCGCTGCATCCCAAACCTTTGAAGACTCAAAAAATCTAGGACGACGGCATAAGGCACCAGAATTCCTAGAGCGGAGTCTTACAGGGCTTGCTGCCTTCAGGGATGGCTTCGTGTTGAATTACCTTTCATGGGTCTTGTGGGGGGTCACGGGCTCGGGTGTGGGGGTGAGGTTTGGAAATGTTTGGGGTTCTGAAGCTGGAGGCTCTTCTTTTTACAGGATGCCGTGCTCCTTTGGGTTTTGCGGGGTTTTATAGGGCTTTGGGCTTTAGGGCGTGGAGATTCCGAGCTTTGAGGTTCGGGATTCGGGCTTCAGGAGTTCAGGAATTAGGAATTTAGGATCAAGGGTTGAGTTTCGGGTGCAGGGTGTAGGGATAGAAGCTTTGGGATTGAGGATTTCGAGTTTAGGATTCAGGGGTTTCTGTTCAGGCTTCCATGAGGAGAATGCCTTGTCCTTGTGGTGGTACAGCAAGTACGCCGTTGGGCCTAGACGAAAAAAAAAGGCCGGCAGCAAAAACCTTTAGCTCCTGTATGATACTTCAGCACCGCACTTGATGTCCACATCGCTGAAATCCCAAAGCTTTAGCATCATCAAACGTGACAACCTCTAGCAACTATCACTTGGCCTAGCCAACGACCCAGGCAACAAGGCTGAAGTCCTGGTGCAGTATGTTACCTGGACACCTCGGAAGCTCAATACACCCGGTCCTTGCAACCTTCGAGGACGCAGGAACAACACCACAATCCTCGCTGCCCTGCCCTGGGTAGGAATGAGCCCCCAAAGCCACAAAGGCCCTAAGAGCCCCAAAAGCCCCAAGGACTGCATCCTGGCTTTGCAGCGCTATGCGGTGGAACTCCGGGGATGGCGTTCCTGGCGCGACTGCAGTGCCTTGGCCATGGGTTATGCTGCAGTTTCGGGGTCGGGCTCAGGGGGCAAGGGCTACTAGGCAACGAGGTTTCAGGGTTTAGAGGCTTGGGCCGGGTTTCTATGTCGAGATATGTGGCATTTATTTTTTTGGCACCCGAAATCGTGCTGATACCACACGTTTCCCAACACTCAAGCAAAACGTAGCACTTTTCTTTACCTACCCAAAACAACCTTAAAATGTGCTGAAAACTGTCGTGAGAACACAACTTCATCAAAAAATCAACGACAGAAAACCATGCGGCGGGATGTTTTTCATGGGTCTCCAGATCAAGGCTTCTGGCTGGGCCTCCTGTCGCAACCTTGCGCTCTCGCCGAGGCATCTTACGCAGTGCTTTGAGGATACGCACGTGTAGATTTCGGACTTTAGGTTTAGGCTTTGGGACTATCGGATTGGAGTTGTAGTTGGCAGGGTCTGGGCAGAGTTTGAGATCTGCCTGCGGTCGCACGCGCGACTCCGATTCACGGCTCAGCCAGGCAGAGAGAGAGAGAGAGAGANNAGCGAGCGAGCGAGCGAGCGAGGGAGCGAGGAAGGGAGAGAGAGGGAGCGAGAGGGGCGACGAGAACACTAAGTTCTTGATGTGCGAGAGAAGGAGAGAGCGAGAGAGGCAGAGCCATCCTGTTGGATGCCAAGCCTGATAAAAGCAAGGTGCTTGGGGCTTAGGCTTCCGAGTCAGTTGTAAATAAAGCTGATGTAATGTTTGCCAAATTGCTAGGCCGTGGAGTTTTAGGCTCTAACGGGCGGGATTTGGCGGGATTTCGTACTCTTGATTTCGGGCTGGTTTTGCTGTGAGCTTGGTTCATCTATATGTCGTTTTGTCCACAGTATGCCATATCGCCGGCTTTGCTGGCTCTGGTGTAGTTTCGCGGGTATCTTGGCTTTAGCCACGTCGCCCTGGGCCATGAACTTGAGCTTAGAACCGGCACTCCAAAACTGCAGAGCCCCTGAACCTCCAACCATTGCAAAACAGGACTTCGATGCAGATCTTCGCAATCTGAACTTCGGCATGACGGCAAGCGGACTCGTCGTGGTGGCACCTGGCCATCATAGGACTGGCGAGTTTAGGAAGTAAGCTTACGGCGTGAGTGATCACCTTTGCCCAGGGCCTTGGCCAGTTTTGCCTTTGCCTGGCCCCTAAAACCTAAACCCCCTAAACCCTAAACCCGGAGCAGCCCGAGGTGTTGGGAGAGGCTGGCAGCTGGCCAACGAGGCTTTGGTGCTTGTACGAGTGCCTGGGTCATCAATCCAGTTGGTTTCGCAGAGGCCCCAGTAAAAGATACGCAGGGATAGGGCGAAGAACGAGTCTTGTTCCAGGAGCCGCCGAACGGACATTTCGATTGCACAACAAGCCTCACAGAGGGAGTGCCGTGGATTCTAGAGCAAGGCAATTCTTCGCCGTTCGACGGTAACGCTGACAAGGAGGAGGATGGTGATGATATCGGCGACGATTAAGGACGATGATGATGATGGTGTCGTCATGCGACGTGTGTTTGGGGCCCCTGCCTAGGCTTCTGCAGGCCCGCGATGCCAGCTTGCCGCTGGAGATTTGCTCTGCTCGAGGCTGCGTCGTGAAGATCCGGAGCTGAAGTCATGACATGTAAGTGTGAACCCTAGAAGCTTCCAGTTGTCGAAGCCCAGAGCGTCGGTGCATCTGACGTTGCCTCCCCTGCCTCCCCTTGCCATGAAGCAAGGCCAAGGAGGCTGACCGTATTGGTAATTCTTTCATGCGCGGGGTCATACCAGACATGATGCGCTTCTGAGTTAACTCTGGCATTGTCGGGCCGAGTATGTACGATTGAGAGATTTGCAGAGGCCAAAGCTGAGCCCTGAAATTCTGCCACTCCCAACCTTCGACTCCACAGAAAAAACCAAAGCGGAGGGACTTTTCGCTGGGAAGTTTCGGCCGCGAGAGGCGTCCTGGGGCGGAGGCCGACGGCCAAAGAGTCGAGAGGATTTGCGCGGAGGCTGATGGACTTGGCCTGTCTTTGTTGTTGTCTTATGGTTTTCGGTTCGGAACTGCTAGAGACTCGAAATCAAAGATGTCAAAACCATGTGTTCGTTTAAGTCCTAAACCACTTAGTCCATGATCTTGCCTGCAACCCTGAATCCTCCCCCGATCTTCAGTTCTCTCGAAATCCCTCCGGTGCGACTTGTCAGCCGGGCGGGTGGGAAAAACGCTCATGACCTCAATCATCCTCAATCTGTCTCACGCCGATCTGCACCTGATAGACGGCTTGTCCGAGTTGTGAGAGCATAAACCAGAAACAGATCTACACAGGCTTTTGGCCAGCCGCCCGGACGATGCGCGATGTGGAAGTGAGGAGGATGGAGAGCAGTCGATCGGACCATGTTCAGTTGGCGCATGCTGGGGTTTAGGGTTTAGGGTGGTTTAGGGTAGGGTTGTTGCGGACGTTGTTGTCGGGAAGATGTTGCGTGGCTCTTTCCTCCAAGGCAGAACTAGAACCTGCGTTTCATGCCATGCTCACTCCATGCGTTCTGTGTTGCAAAGCTATGTTCGCATGACCCAGGGGGAAATGGGCCTTGACGCTAAAAAAAAAGCGGCCTTCGTACTTCGCACGCAGAGTGGGTTTCGGCCTTGGAGCCCGGGGTTCCCAGGGGGCAGGACCAGGCGCCCTACTACTAGGGGCGAAATCTCAGTCAGACCTGGACTTGTAAGCTGTCTGAAGGCCTGGAGCATGGGCTTGCCTTTGGTCATTCAGGAGGTGGCTGGACTTCCAATCTTGCTTGTCCGATGTTCTGGACTCGCCTGCGCGAGCGGCGCCCAAGTCTGAACTGAGGCTCCTTGCGCATCTCTCGCCACGCGGTGGCCTTGAGGCCTTTCAGCTTCGCCAAGTGCCTTTAGCAGAAGGGTCCGCCTCATTGCAATTGCAACGCGAGCCAGCAGTGGTTCCTCCAACCGTCTATAAATCATCAGCTAGCAGGCGGCATCTAGCATGTAAAGTTTGCAGGGCTGAGCCGACATTCGAAGGAGTGCATGTTTCGGAAGCTTCAGCTCAAGACGGGGTCCATTCTGCACAGTCGAGGCCTTCACTTTTCCAATACTTCAGGGGCTTGAATGATTGAAATAGGAATATAGGGTCATGATCGCTACATGTATGGGGACTTTGGGGACATACTCTTACTAATTGCAATTCAGATGCCTTTGCGGCCCCAGCACGCGCCAGCCTCTGCAGAGGCCTTGCGGCGGCCGCTGGTTGCCTTGGCAGGTGGCTCACCTGAATCACTGCAAGACTTAATAAGCCGGTCGGAGTCCGAGCCCCCTTCAGGGTTTGGGGCTGAGTGTTTAGGTGAACGAAAGGCCATGCGCAGTGTAACCCTTCTGCTTCTTCCGAGGTTTGAGTTGCAAAATCCCCCGAGCTGAATCCCAAACCCTCAACCCGAAACACACCAACCGAACGGTCCACAACCGCTACACCTACACCATAAGCCTCAAACCTTGCTGAGCACCGTGCATTGTAGGTTCGTCCTATCCTAGCCAAGCGGGAGACAAACAAAAACCTCGCTGAGGACAGCTGCTTTGCCTCGGTGACACCACCCCGATCGTGCCTGAACTGTTCGGGGAGCTCCGATTGCGCCTCAAAGGCTCGACGTGGTCTGTTTCGGGGTTTGAGGGCTTCTGAGATCTGCACAAACGATTAACGGACACACTCCTGCAACGAAGTCTGGAATATTCCGGGCTTTCTCAACTATTGCTAGTGACGCACGATTCGAAACTTGCCAGCGTCGCGTGATTGGCAGTGTATTTCCCAGCCACTTCGCGACTAGTGCCGCTGGTGTGTGTTGTCTACAGATACGACTATAGAACGTATGCCTATGTGTGCACACGGGTGGATAGAGAGTATAGATATATAGATGGATGGATAGCTAGATAGTAGGTAGATAAATAGAGAGAGAGAGAGAGATATATATATATACACACGTATGTATATATACATATATACATATGTATAATATGTGTGTCTGTGTATAGATGTACATAACAAATGAATAGCAAGATGAAATAAATGTGTCTCAACACGCACACACACACATACACACATACACACATACACACATACACACATACACACATACACACATACATACATACATACATACATACATACATACATATATGCATACACATACACGCATACACACGTACACACGTACACACATACACACATACACGCAGACACACAGACACACAGACACACATACACACATATGCATACGCACATACATACGTACGTACGTACATACATACATACATACATACATACACAGACGCACAGAAGTACAGGGATGGCCAAACCTAGACGTGCCGGCGCTCGTATAGAATGCACGTAGACCCTGTGATTCTGTACGATTCCTACCCCCGACCCACGTTGGCCGCCCTGGAGCGAGTCTGAGCACCGATCTGAGCACCGAAGCGCGGATCCCTGAACCCTGAATCGTGTGCAGTGAATCGATGTTGGCAGAGCAGAGGCGGCCTGCATCGGGGCACCTGGGCTGAAGCCATGTCTGGCATGACCTCGAGGACCAACAGAATCCCCTCCTTCTACCCGGTTGATTTCGAGGTTCAGCAGTGCAAAGCTTTTGTGAATTAAAGTCTCTCCGACAGATCTAGGAGCGCAAGGTTCGTGTGGAGCTTACAGATGCTATTGGCTTTAATCCTCGACAAGTAGTTCTGCTACACGATGTTGTTTGCTTGCTGTTCCTTTGTTACAAGAGTGACCTGCAGCTGGCATTCTACTGTTGCCTGCGGTTTTGCGGGGCTTTCCACTGGTTTCCGCGACGGGGGGAATGCCCAAACTAGAGCAGCGGCGGCACGAGCTTCAAGCCGAGCAGGAGCTGCGCTGTTGCCAGCGGAGCAGTGCAGACCGACGAGATGGTTGCCTTCCTGCGAACCCCAGGCAGATAGCCTGTCTCGACATAGCTTCGCAGTTATAATCGCAGCAGGTTCCGGCCTCGTGGGGTTTTGACTTACTCTTTTGGATTCAATCAGTCTGGCTTCGTCTCCTTCCTGCGAAACCTTGGGTCCTGCACATGACGCTGAGATCGTCAAGAGTTAAACCATCCCACAACATCCACAGCCACGGTTTGGCTACAACGGGCATGCTATTTGCTGGCACTGGCGTCTTGGCCTAAGCCCTGGTGTCGCAACTTCACGTCCAGCAAGGCAAGCATGTGTGCATAAATACTGAAATGCACAAGGCATACCACCATGAAGACAGACCGGTAGACAAAGACCTAGGGGCACAGGACATTGTCGGCTCAAGTACCTGGTACATACATGCACATATATTGATTTATGTATGTATGTATGCATGTATGTATGTATATACACTCACAATTACATATACTTATATATATATATACATACATACATACACCTGCCGCTGCACTACCGCGATGTCTATTCCTCCTCCTGCTCCTCTTCCTGCTACTCAAACCACAATTGCAACAACAACCAACAACAGCAGCAGCAACAACGACAACAGCAGCCACAACCACCAACCGCAACCACAACCACCACGATGACATGGCACACACTACTGGTACTAGTGGTACTATGGTACTATACCGGTGCTATTGCTGCCGCTCTTATTCCATGAGGCCCTAAACCCTAAAACCCTAAACCCCTAAAACCCTAAACCCCTAAACCCTTAACCCTAAACCCCTAAAACCCTAAAACCCTAAAGCCCTAATCCCTAAAGCCCTAAAACCCTAAACCCTAAAGCCCTAATCCCTAAAACCCTAAAAACCCTAAACCCCTACGTAAACTTCCGCAAGTCCCCTGGCCTGTGGCCACCCGGAAGGTCGGTGTTTGCTGCTCGAGGGCCGACCGACCACCGGCAGAACTCTGTTGGCCAGGCAGGGGTCTCGGAAGGTAGGGGGGTTATCCTTAGTATATATTATTACTATTATTATTATTGTTATTATTTTTTGTTGATTATTATCCCTATTATTAATAGTATTATCAGTATTATCCTTATTATGACTTGTGTCCTCTTCACAACCACCCGTTTTTTCGCTGTTTGGTCCTGCAAGCATGTGGCCCACATCCGTACAGACATGCCGCAAGAGGTGGGGGTTTCGCAGGATTTTGGTGCAGCTGTGGTTGAATCGAGTATTGCACATCTTTGGGAATGCCCCACTCCCCAAGGTTTTCTTTTGTCCCTCTCAAAAGCATCATAGCAGCAAGGCACGTGCTGGCGAGGCTTGCAGAGGCCTGTCGAGGGCCCTTTCTGCCAGTGTCGCTGAGGAACTTTTGCAGAGACAGCCACTGCAGCTCTCATTCTAGATGGTGGGTCGGGCAGGTGTGGTTCTTTTTTATGCGTGTAGGCGTGGTTCTTTTTATGCGTGGTGGGATTCCAATTCGGTTTTTGCGTGGCAAATTTCCATCTGAAGGCTCTCATACCTCGGCTACTAGCTGCTAGCCAGTCCAAGTTTTGCAGCAGTTCTGCATCATAAAAGAGTTGCGAAGACAGTTCACATCGTCTCAAAGGCTAGAAAAGCATGGAAGCGCTGCTTGGGTCCCAGTGGCATGTTGCCACATGGACTGCCGAGCCACTAAAAAGTGGGTGGTCTGCAAGTCTGGGCCGCACTCTGCAGCCCTCGACGCCAGTCTGAACCCTTAACCCGCAAGCTAAACTCCCTCCCCCGAGCTCCGCAGTCCCAAGTTCCATTGCTGCATCAGGGTGACGGCGCGACGGATTCACGTCCCTGGCTTCCCGTCCAGGCCCGCTTCAACCGTTTCAGCTGAATGTCTTCCCAGTCATGCTGTAGGAGTGCCAACCCCACATCTGACGAAGCTGTTGTCGCTTCAGAAGTCGAGCTTATGTAGATATTTAGGCGCACACACACTCATTTTCTCTATGAGCTTCGAAACTTTGCTGCCGCAGGCCAACTGCGCTGTGCTCGGGAGTATGGTCCGAGCTGGCGGCCCGGCAAGTTGGTTTAGAATGTATGTATGTATGTATGTATGTATGTATGCGCATACGTACGTAGAGACTGAGAAGAAGAAAGATAGATAGGTAGATCGATAAATCGATAGATAGATACGAAAGGTAGTTCGACAAGAACTAGGCCTCTGTGTCTGGCTCGGCTTGCTTCTGGGATTGCGGGTTATCCACGTTCGGGATTCGTGTGAAGGTCTACACCGAACTTTGCACTTCTCAATCTGGACTCTCGCCCCGGCGCCATCCGAGTGCGAGAGTCCAAGCCCTTGATAGTGTGCCTTCAATGGCTCTTGGTCTCAGAGGAGCTCAGGGCCACTTCTGTTGAGTTTGTGTCAGGAGCCGAAGCACGCTTCGTCTGTTGTGCAGGTCGGAGTTTAGGGTTGGAAGTCTTGTGGCTGAGGGGGCTTCCCGCTTAGGGCCCCTTGATGAGTTCACATTGAAAGCTGTTGAACCCTCATGCTGCACCGTTCAATCGTACCCTATCGAGCTGATATGTGCGAATGCGTGTCGCAAACTGTTCCTGCCAGGGCTGCTTCAAAAACACTAGGGCGAGGGGGTGGGGCCCGGGGCAGGGGTGCCATGGGGGAACAGTCTCCTCCGGCACCCTATCAGGAATGTGGCCCTTCCTGATAAGTAGTACTCGTGTGTGTTTGTTGAATTGTGTCGTCTGTTCCCACTTTAACAAGCCCGTAGCGGAAGGCCTACACACCGCAAATCCTGTTCTATTTCTGAAGGCCCCCCCATAATCGACCCTCCAAAGCCCCCATAAAGTTCCGAGCCCCATGGTTCCCTGTTCCTCTCGAGCGTCGCGGCCTTCTCAAGCAACACAACACTGTCACAACACGCAAGGGCTGTTCTAGATTCGGCCGTTTTGTTAAGTTTTTGTCTGGTTGCGGTTTATGAGCCGGTTTCATCCGGGTGTACGTATTTTATGCTGTTTGAGGCTTGGGGTCCGTTCATTTAGGGATTTCATCAGGTTTGGAGCCAATTCCCCTGACGTTTGAGGTTTGTCTTCTAGGGTCCAGGGTGCCCTTACTAACTGCTTGCATCGGGCTTAGAGTTTAGGGTCTAGTGTGGAGGTCTGTGTTCTAGGTTTTAACTAAACCACGAACAGGCTGAGCCTCTGGTGTGGTTCAATTAATCACCCACCGCCCCGAACACCTCAGCTGTTTTGTTAAGGAATGTCTTTTGAACGCAAAGCCTTCTGAATTCAGGCTGCAGTTTACGGCTTCAGGTCTAGGGTTAAGGAATGCTGAGGATGTAGAGAGCATCCTTCACTTCCAAGACGGCTTCCCAACTGCACATGAAGTGGGGGTATGTATGTATGTATGTATATATATATATATACGGGGGTTGTGACTGTACACGGGCTTTAGGGCTTCCCCCTTCCTTGGAACTGGGAGCTCCTCGAGCACCGGGAGCCCCTGAGGCGATGAACCGTCGGATCTGGATCTTCTTGGCCAGTGGCTGACAGAGGAGCTAGCAGCTAACCCTACACCCTAAAACCCTAAAACCCTAAAACCCTAAAGCCCTAAAGCCCTAAAACCCTAAAACCCTAAAGCTTTACACTCTGTTTGGGTTGCTGTTGTGGGAGCTCCAAGGGATGGGCAGCAGTAAAATCTGTTGCTTACAGGCAGACCATCTTTATACTGGGTGGTTTACGGTTCTTAGACTGGGTTCTGGGCTTGCTTCCTGCCTATGGCCTGTCTTTCCTGTGTCACGCCGACCTCGCACCAAGAACCTCGCCTGGCTTGTCCGAGTTGTGAGAGCGTAAAGCCCTAAAGCCCTGAACCCTAACTAGCTTTCCAAGCTTTCGGGGTTTCTAGGGCCCCAAGACCCCAAAAGACCCTATAGACCCCACCCTGACCCCTGAGCCCTGATTGAAAGTTTGTGCTTAGGCTGGTTGCAGGGCATCGTGTTGCGACTTGTAAGATGGAGACTTGGGGGGGTGAGTCTGTGAGCGCATCTCGAACTTCCGAAACAAGTAGACTGCATGAACTTATGCTCCAATGCGGGCCGTTCCTCAGAAACGGCTTCCCATGTGAGGGAGCACGTTTAGCCCCCACACGCTTAAAAGCCCTAAAACCCAAAACGTCCCCCACCAGGAGCATGGCAAGTCGCTTCTGGAGGAGCCACATGCTTGACATCCTAGACTCCTAGACTACAGCAACTGCCGACATCCCACCTCGTTTGCTGGACTCCCTCATAGCTGATTCGTTCTTTTCTTTGCATCTCGGACCCTTCAATCCTCTCAATGCGCCACCTTGAAGCTGATGCTCACAGTTTGGACGACCATGGTGACAGCAATCCCCCCTAAAACCCTAAGCCCCCCACCTAAACCGTAAACCCGAAGCCCCAAACCCTAAAGTCAGACATGGCTGGCCGCGGGTCTTAAGCCGTAAATCTCGCAATCTGAAATCCGTAAGGGGCCCCTTGATCATGTTAGGGTTCAGGGTTTATGATGGTTAGCAGTCTTAGTGTTCGTGTTCGTTTTTACTTATTGTTGTTGCTTCTACAATTGTGGTTACTTCTATTTCGGTTCTATTGTGGTTCCTATTATGATAGGCCCCAAAGGGACGCCGAAGTGGAGGAGCTCGGTCCACACTTCGCTGGTGTGGCGCTGCTTCTGGAGGGCCTGGAGCGTGCCGGTGCAGAGGGCTTTGGGTTTAGTTCCTGTGCCGATCGCAACAGCTTTCCACTTTTGCATCATCGTACAAGAATGTTCTGTTTGCCATTCCCGGCTTTCTATTGGTTTTGCTCCAGTTGCAACTATAGAAGCAGCCGGTTGATACCCAAAGATTTTGCGGGGAGAGGTGGAAAACTGCGTATCTCGCAAGACGCCCGTCAAAGCACGCCGTCCCCCCCATCTTCAGTTCATCCATGCACAATGATAGGTGCTCCCGTTATCGGTGAAACTGTACATAGCATCCTCCTTCGGATGGGAAGGCACTGGTCAGAATCGTAGAGTAGCAGAGGGCCCATGGGAATCCTTTCAGAGACAGGTCACTCTGCGGCTGCGCTTGCTCGCTGGGCCAACTGCTGGCTGAGCAAGCCTGGGATGGCCAAATCAGCGCCCCGACAGCTGCTGACTGCGGGGCATTAGTGCTGCTAGTTGGCTTTGGCAACGTTTCCGGGGGGAGACTGGGTTGATGGCTTCTTATAGGGAGTCGAGGAGTGTGGAGGATACTTAGGGCGCGTGCCTGCGGGAATCTGGGGTGTCAGGGGCTGAAGGCTGTGGGGTGTATTGAGGAGGGTATAGGGCTCCGAAGCGCGCAGATGAAGATTCAAGACTGTTCTTTTTTTAGTGCCAGGAAACCTGGCCTTGCATTCAATTCATCACAGCTTAGTCCCATAAGTACATGTAACAACTCGCGCTGTTCCCCTGCGAACCCGATGTATATTCACACAATAGATTCTGTAATCTGCTCGGGAAATGCTGTTCTAAGCAGTTCGGCCCTTGATCACCGCAGGTCCTTCTGACCTCCCGGCCCTCCCTCCACGAGGAGGTTATGGGACAGAGCGCCGCAGCCGAAGTGTTTTGGTGCAACAAAGATTTTTCCAGGCTAAGTCCCGTGGCCTACTCCCCACACGCTAAACCCTGCATCTGCGACCCGAAACCGCCGAAAAACTAAATCCTCTCTCTTGCCTCCCGAGTAATAGAGTAGGCAATCAGGTCATCATTAAAATTTTTTTTGGGTGCTACAATCCCTTTTATTATTTATATTCCGACAGCTTTTAACCAAGAAGCTGCTGAGGACTCCGGTTGCGACCTCTGGGGCTTGGCCGACGTTTCCGGGCGGACGAGCTTGGCTTACAAGGGCCTTAATGGTAGGGGTAGTAGGGCTCAGGGTTTCGTATGGTAAGGGTTATATTGCGGGTTATAAAATGCGGGGGCCTGAAGACGAGGGTTGAAGGTTTTAGACTACACAGGTCTCCTGTAAGGGTTGCTATGCGGGTCCTGCGGCCCTAAGGGTCTCTAGAAGGGTTAGAAGAACAGGGGCCGAGAATTAACCATGGGTGTTTCTAGTTGTGTTGTACCATGGTTGGCTTCTACATAGTAGCTGGGTTCTTTTGGTTTCTAAGGATTCAGATAGGGCGATAGGGTACAGGGAGTGTACGGCTTTTGCCCCCCCCCAGTCATGTTGTAGGCTTCTGCGGCATGGGTTGCGTGGGAACGGCGTTGGTCAAACCCTACCAAGTGGGCTTTCGGTCTCCGGCTTCGGGGTTTGTTTTTACGAGGACCCGACTAGCATGACCCCCGATAAAAATCTGTCGGAGGCATTTCGCCTGAACTAAAGAAACACGTCTTCGACCTCTAGAGACCCAGAGCTCCGATGGCCGTAGTGGTTAGTAGTGGTAGTAGTAGTAGCAGCAGCAGTGATAGTGGCAATAGTGACAGTAGAAGGATGGGTTTTTCAATTGTTCCCCAGCGGCCCAATCGCACAACGGTTTGCATGGGCCTGCAGGACGGATACTGTAGGTCCTTGCCCGAAGCAGCTTCTGAATCCAGATGTAATGTCAGACATCTGTAGGAATTGGGAAGAGCCTAAGTACGGCCCCTCATCCAAAAGCTAGACGTGCCTAGATTTTATTTCTGAGGTTTTGGAGACAGCGGATAAACGGCTCACACGGTCACGAAGATCCCTGATTCAGGCTCCCGACATCCAAATCAAACTCTAAACAAAGCTTGAGTTCAAGCTTTCATCTCCTACAGCAGATAAGGCTACTACAGCCGAGCGCGAGTGGGCCCGGGCAGCCGCAGCGAATCTTCCGGACGGTGGCCGTTTGCTGCAGGCGTGGTTTCAGTTGACAGTGGTGTTAACTGGATAAAGACGGTGGTTGTAAAGTTGCAGTATATGTGATGCTATTACTAAGCCACTGGAGAGCACCCAGCGGTTGTGGTGTTGGAGGTGGTCGTCGCAACAGCAGCAGCAGCAGCAGCAGCAGCAGCAGCGATTGTAGTAGCAATTTGTCGTGGTAGTGGTGGGACCAGGAGTAGGATGTGGCTGGAGTCCTTTTGCTGCTTCCTCTACACTTTACCCTCGCAGCCACCTGTAAGGTCCAAACGCAACGTGTTGGGGACATGCCATGCTTTCTTCCACTCGCGAGGTGGCTTGGCGAAGTGTTCGGTAGATGTGATGTACCGTGTTTTTACGGCATGTTGAACTTGTGCAGATGCCTCGGAATCGCTTTCAGGGTTTAGGTGTGCAACGTTCCCTCAGTCTGTCGATTGTTCGGGCTTTCCGGGTGTGGACAGCCAAAGAGGAATGACATGACAAAGGGGTTGGTGCACGTAGGATGACCGACCGCGGACAACCGCCAGATGTATCCTAGAGAGTGTGAAAGCCCAGTGATGGTCTTCCGACGGTTCAGGCTGCCATCATCCCTGGCTGGCATGGGTCTGGGTGGCGTAGAACCTTTGCTTAAAGCAGATATTTCAAAACTTTTTGGCCGGGCGTGGATGCTGAAGTCACCATGTCAAGCGGCCAGTCAACTCGAAAGCTTCGAGAAGTGAAGTGGCCTTGCTGCTTATGACTGGAAATCTCCGCACGTAAGGACCAGCAAAGGATGTTGGAGCAGCCTTTCTCTGCATCCATTTTGCTTCATTTTTTCGACCGGCGCGACTCTTCCTGCGACCTGTCCAAGCTGAATTGCCTCGAAATCTACGGGTGCTTGGCGGATGCCATGTGGCAAAATGCTGGCTGGAAGAGTGATTCCGCAGACTCTGAAGGTCCGGCAAAGTCTGTTTGCGAAAATGCCTTGCAGCAGCTGGCGCTGGACATGTGCTCCCATAACGCCCACATAGTCCCTGTCAGCAACATCAGCGACTTACTTGCGACTCCATTCTTGTGCCGGGTCGGTGGACGACATGCCCGTTTCGCGCATGCGACGCTTCAATCCTATTTCGCGGCCCTGGAGATCTTGCGGCGGATGGACGTGGCCCCGCAGGTCCTTGGACAGTCGCAATGGCCGCAGGCCGGAGTGCTGAATGTTCGCACTGCAGTGCTTGTACACTGTCATCGGCTCACCTGCCAATAATACATTTTTTTTATTATATTCTTACTGTTATTGTTAGTATATTATGTTGTATTATGTTGTATTATATTATATTATATTATATTATATTATATTATATTATATTATATTATACCATATCATGTGATATTATATTAGCCTCAAGAGTCCAAGAAGCCCTGAAAGGTGACGCTCTTCCTGAAGCGGGGCCTTGAGGCTGCCATCGCAGCAGCTTGCAGGCTGGAGCCAAGTCTGGCCCCGCTGTTTCTTCGGAGTCCTTGGGATGCGGCGGAGATGTTTCAGGAAAGTGCCGGGTTCAGAGTTATCTAAAGAGTTTGGGCATTATAAGGAAAAGTTATTTATAGAGTTTGGGCATTCTAAGGAAATAGGGACTTAAAAACTGTAGGAGTATCAGTATGGCAGTGGCAGTGTGAAAGCCGTGTGGGGAGAAGCAGGAGCCGGAAGTGGAAGCTTTTTTTTGTTCATTGACGCCTTCTGCTATGCCTTGATGCTGGAAATGTCTACTTTTAACTACCCCTAAACCCTAAAGAGCCCTATAGAACCCTTTAAAGGAACCCTTAAAGGAACCCCATAACCCTACTTGTAGCTGAGACAAACTTGAATTCCCCTTTTGCACGCGGAACATGCAGAAGAAGAGCTTGGCCTCCCTTTTCCCCTAAGACAAGCGAAGCACGGCTTCCAGGTACAAAATAGTCGGAAGCCGGCTTGCCTAGTGATGGTTTTCTTGCCTTATAGCCTATATGTGGTTATAGACAAAGATAGTGCGGAAACCCGATTCTAATCATTCAAGCCTCCTATGTTAGCCATGCAGGCTTTCGCGGCTTTGGGGCTTGTCAAGCTTCTATAAATAGTAATAGTAATAATAGTAATAATCGTAACAATAAATAGTAGTAATAACAATAATAATCATATACTCATGGATGTCGTTGGATCTTCCGCCTGACAAGCGAAGTTGCTAGTTCTGTCGATCGCTGTGGGGTTTGCGGAGGCTGCCGAATCTTCTCGGCAAGGAGGGTGTGGAGCGGCCGCCCGACCAAACTGGCTTTACGGGCTCAGTAGTGAGGAGAGGCTTGGGGGGCTATATCATACCAGAGCTTCGACTGTGGCTCGTAGGAATGATGTTGATGGGCCAATGAGGTTCCTTCTTATTCCGCGGCGTATTACGGAACGCTTAGTTCAAGGACCCACGCAAGCAACTCGTACAATGCTTCGTTCCTGAGTCCAAAGAAAGTCTGCGACCCGGACGCGTACAGGAGTTTAGGGTTCCTGAAAGGTGGGTAGTTCTCAGTTCGGCGGTAAGAACACCATAACGAAGGCAAGCCTCAGGACGGTAGTATGTGTTTTTTTTTGAAAATTTCCAGAGCTCTTCGACGTCCTGACCCCCGTTTAGAACACTTAGCGGAACTCTACAAGGAATTGCGGGAAAAAACCCGAAGTCCCCAGCAAGAAGCCTTGTCTTCTTTTTGTTGTTCGTGAGCTGAGGATAAGCTTGGACATTCCGGAGTTAAGATCTCGAGTTTGAGGCAATATCTTACCTTGTAGCATAGTATATTATCTGACCTTATAGTATAGTATGGTAAAGTATAGTGTAGTATAATCTCTTTTGAGTTTGAGGGTCTAGGGTTCAAGGATTGACGACTTCGGGCCTTCACAGCCGTCTAATTTAAGGCTCATGCAGAGACCCCATGATCCCTAAAGAAGATGACAATCCACCGAGGTGTACCAGAGGTTCTTGATGAGCAGAGGGTCAAGGGATGTTGGTAGTCACACAGGATTTGTTGATTCTAAACAATTCCATACTCCGCCGCCCCGGAGGTTGTACTGTACTACCTACATTCTGCTTTACTGAGTTGAGGGCACGACGCTATACTTCACCGTGCTATACTTCAGTACAGCCGCAAAGCCCTAGCATAGACTCTGATAAGACACAGTCCCAAACCTCACCAGTAGTACAAACCTTTAAGACATAGGCCTCAATACCACATGACCCTAAACCAGAGTATGGAAATTTAACATATCCCTAATCTCCGGCAAAATATGAAGATGTAACGAACCTTGAGATCTGTCTTGGTAAAATCCTTCATTAAGCCCCAACATACTAGTCAAGAGGCTGCAGCAGTGCATGCGCGTGGCTTTGGCCGTGGGTGCCGATGTCAGCAGCATCGCCGAGAGCTTGACCCAAGCCTGGGAACAGGCGAGAAACTCTTACAACTATTGTCATCATCGTTCCATGGTTTGATCGTATCACTGCTCGTAAAATTGTAATCAACATGCAATGTTCCTGCTTATGGCTATGCTATGCAGTTTTTTATGTAGTGATGCCTGCAAACCGGGTACCATGATTGCTCTAAGGTAGAGTGCTGTCAGTAGTACTTTTCGTCGTCGTTAATGCCGTTAGTCGTGCATCTGATATGTCCATACTTCCATTGTACTGTTCTCATTGAGGTTGTGACGATGGCACTTGCGAAAACCATTTGTGTTGCTATTGCTGCCACTGTTACTGTTTTTCGGGGTTGGGTGAGTGAATCGAAGCCTTTCCGGGGCGAGAAGGAGCTAAGAGTTGCGGATCTGGAGATTTAAATTGTGTGGGGATGCTGTAAGATTGGAGGAATTCGCAGCATGTGCGTGTTGGGACCAAGAGACATCCTCGCAACCTTTTTGTCTCATGGTGGCAGTGCTCAGTTCTCAGGTTGGCGGCTTCGAGGTTTCAATCTATTCCTGTCATTCCTGTGTGCAGTGAACAATTGCATGCTGTATGCACGAGCTTCGTGGGGCAAAAAGTTTGAATGCCTTCGGACCGTATAAAGAAGTCGCGATGCCCCCAAAAAAGTCGCTTTGGCTCGGCCTGATTTGGGTTCTGGAAATTTGAGAAGAGCCGTGCGTCAGGTGCATGCAGCGGCCCAGGACCCGGCTGTTCGTTGCTGTTCGGACTCCATGTTGCTTCCGCCCTGCGGGTGGAGGCGCTTTCAGAAGAGAGCAGCACTTTGAGGCTTTGAGCTTTGGAACTCTGAGCTCCCAGCCGCCGAAAGCCCGAGTCCGAGGAGTCGGAGGCCGAGGAGGCAAAGTCGTGCTTGAGGACCTGGCTGCCGACGAGCTTGGAGGCGGAGTTCATACGAGTTCGAACTGCTTCAAGTCCCAAAGTCCCCAAGAGTTGGTGGGTTTTACACTTGTGGGGGTCTTGATTCTTCGAGACTCTCACGTTCAAGCCTTAAGCGTCCACATCGCTACATGAATCCCAGGCATGCCTCAAGAGCTGCCTCTTTGCCGGCGGGCCTTTGCCCCTGCAGGGCCTCTTGGCTTCGACCAGGCACGCACAAAAGCGCGAGCAATACCAGTATTATTGTCATTACTGTTCGTATTGGTATTGTGAATGAGCATTAGTCTTACGACTACGTATTGGTAGAAATATAGGTCTCATAGTATGAGCAAGACTGCAACGAAGTAGAAACTGCTGCAGCTTATGTAAGCGAGACCCCGCTATAGTGTTGCAATCAGAAACCTTCAAAGGAGGACGGCCGGTGATGCCGCATGGACTGTTGTCTTCCAGGACCTAACCTAGCCTGAACTGGGCCTGAGACCACCTGAGCCCCTTTTTTTGCATGGCCAAGGCCTGCTGTGCTCCACCCTGGGCCTGGTCGGTCGAGTGCTGCGTGTCGGAGGAGGCTTGGCTTGTGGGCTTGGCTCAATGCGGCTCCCAAAATCACCCAAAGCCTTATTCTAATTATCTTATAGGACCCTTATAGTAGCCCTTATAGGAACCATCGGACCCGTAAGCCCTCTGAAGGCCTGCAGCTGTCGGAGCAGCTGCTCATTGCTGCTCAGTCCAGCGTCGGGCTCGAGCACAAGAAGCGCCTCCTCAGAAGTTTCTTTCGGCAGAAGTGGAGCAGCGCTGCAGAATGATAGAATGGTGATGATGCAGGTGTCCACCGTTCTATCTTGGCGGGCAACGGTTCAGGGTACCCTCAAGCTTTCGAGTCTCCTCCAGCTTCTGGTTCAGGCAAAGCGTCCTTTCATGGCAGCGTGCTGGCGACGTCTCTTTGGAGCCGACGCTGCATCAGCTTGCACATGCCACGGCTGCTGGGGTTCCAGGCCTGGTGGAGAGAAAGGATCGCGACAAACATGTGTTAGGAAGGCTGCATCAATTAAAGGGCTTTGCTTCTTCAGCTTCTGGCTGAACGAGTACGCAGCGGCAGTGAAGTGAACGACTTGATGTTATCAGCCCTCCCTGCTCATGCACGTCACTTAAGCCTCCCCGCCCCAGCCCTTCCCCCTCTTGCGCTAGCCTAGCGTTATATATAGTTCTCGCGGTGTTGAGGGGGCGTCGTATGAGCATCAACTCAACACTGTCGCCGAAGCCGTACTGTGCCAGTCAGAGAGCCGATTTCGAGGGTTTAAATGGGGTTATGACTCCGATACGGGCGAATCGTAGCCAAACTCCGATAGCGTCCCTTTGCAAGTTCACCCCGGTAAACCTGGAAATTGCCAGAGCCGCAATCGAACTCGCCCGAACACCAGGCCAAGATGGCAAACTTACTTGCCAACCCTAAACCCCAAAACCCTGAAGCCCTAGAACCCTAAAGCCCTAAACCCTAAACCCTAACCACGAAGGACCCCTGCGGTGGCAGCTGGCCCTGCTTTTGCTGGCTGCCCGTCCACGAGGCGATGCCGTGGAAGACTTGCGGGCTCCTTGGCACTGCGTTCTTTATTGGCATGTACAATTATAGTAGGCTGTTAGTAGATAGTTGGGCTTCGTTGTTCCTATAGATTCTTACCCACTCTTTACTCCTCATCGAGGCAACTCCAACTCCTAAGCCGAAAAATCATGGTCTGTGGGCCTCGTGGATGCAGAAGCCAGACTCGTCAGACGTGAGCAGGTACTACTTGGATGAGTCGTCTCACGGCCTGTTCTCGACGCATATCGAAGCAGCAGTAGCTCGTAGCACCATGTCTCCATTAATGCCGCGTGATTATTCAGTACGTACGTCAGAATGCCCCACCATTAATGCAGGTTTCGTAGCATATCTTACGCTCGGTTAGGTTGCTCGCGCTAACTGTTGCTGTGTCGCTCCTGCTACTGCTGCTGCTGCAGCTGCCGCTGCTAGTTTTGGCACTCCCGCCTCCTCGTCTGCTCCTGTTGCTATAATTAGTTACCGCTGCTACGACTACATATTACGAGGACTGCTACGACTGCGACAGCTACACTGCCGTGACTTGTAATTTATCCTTGTTCATGTTTATTCGAATTATGTACTACGTACTACCACCACCACCTACTCCTACTACTACTACTACTACTACTGCTACTGCTCCTGCTCCTGCTCCTGCTCCTGCTCCTGCTCCTGCTCCTGCTCCTGCTCCTGCTCCTGCTACTACTACTACTACTACTACTACTACCACTCGGTTCAGGGTTTTAGCAGTCGTGAAACGATGCTATCACTAGTCTTAGCAGCAGTTACAATAAGTGTAGTATGTCATAGTAGTTGTATGTAGAAGTAGACAAGGCGCAAGGGGCTTTGGCAGGAAAGGGCCATGTTTCGACGGCCCAAGAGCGAGAAAAGCCGAGGTTGCTTTGCAGGTGGCAAAAGCAGCCGGGCTGCCCACGAAGCTCCTGGAGGAGTTTCATCGAACACTGCATGATTGGGGCCTAAACAATCACCCAGACAATTATTGCGGGGTTTCGTTATTTGTTATTGTAGTAGTATAAGATCATAATATTCAAACCCCACAATATACACGAAATCCTGAATACCTGACACTACCCTGGGTCGTACTTAAGCTTCGCTGTGTTTCCCGCCTGTCCTATTGCCGACGGCTTTGTATTCTCACACCCTACATCGACGGCTACGATTTTGTCATCAGTCCAAGCTTGAGACATTGGCTTAAGATGCTGCGCCAAGGTCTTCGCACGGGGTGAATGTTTGGGATCACCGCACCCACTGGGCAGTGTAAACCTCCAAGAGGGCAGCTCTCAGACACTCCAAGAGCTGCAGCGAATGAGTTCGAGCTCCAGAGCCACAGAAAGGAATAGAGCTTTGGAGAACCGTGCGCAATGAGCTACTGCACTCTGACTTTGTCCCATGTCGGTTTTTGGCGACATGAAAGGCTACTTTAGGCGTAAGCTTTCTGAACGAGGCCTGCTGCAAACCTCTGCAGCCGGCTCACGTTTGCAGATGCCAACAGCTGACAACCAGTGTCTGACAGACTTTTGGCATCGTGTCTGACGATAACATAGAAGAGAAGCCAAGAACTTCCGATGTATTTTCGCAGAGGGCGGGATGCTAGCATGACTTGACGTAGCGACGAAGAGCAGTGTTGACCGATCCTTCTGTGAAGGACCAGATCTGGGAAGTCTACATCCGAGCAGCCGGCGGTTGGCCACCGAATACAGCCAAGGCAGTATAAGCAGTATAGGTAATTCTAGGGTTTAGGGGCTTTAGGGTTTACTGTAGAGCGGTTAATGGGGTAAGGAGACGAATACAAAGGTGCAGAAAAATGGCTGCTGATAGTCGTCGTGCCGCCTAGGTCCTAGGTGAAGCAGCACCTGCCGCGATCAAGCACGTCCTGTTCACAATGCTTCGACCCGGTGAGACCACGCAACCCAAAACCGCGTTCGATACACAGAACGTGGGCTTGCAGGGATCTTGCTGTAAGATGGCAAAAACATGTCGCACCCTCATCTCGCTCAATCTTCGCTTTATCCATCTTTCTCTCTACATATAATCCGTAGCTGCCGTAGCTTTACATGTTTGTACTTATGTCCTTCCTATCATGGCGTAGTAGAGTCGCATCGCTTTATACTTTATAGCCACACCGGCTGCAGGTTGAGGCGGCCGGACAGCTTCTCCAGGAATACTTGGCAGGCTGGTTTAGGGTTTAGGGGCTTGGGGTGGTTTAGGGGTTAGGGGGTTCGGGGTTTGGCGGAGTCGCAGCAGGCCAGTTGC